CCATCCTCACCTAAAAAGTTCATGGCATTTGTAGTTATCTTGCAAACTATAACTGTTATATTTAATAAATTATAAAACCATTCGTATGTCTTTGAACAGGAAATGGCCCGACTTAGTTTCACAACACGCAGACGTAGGCTTATGAGATTGTTTTTGCATGAAGCTATGACTATTTTTGCTTGGTTTTTCATCACGATTTGCACTTTAATAGCTGACTACGAAAGAGATAAACCACGTATTCAATACTCTTTGTCAAATATGGATCGAGCTTCATTATTTCATAGGTATGCTTATGAGAGTGACAGTATGTGCATATCACAACTTAGGATGAATAGAGGGTGTTTCAAAAAGTTATGTGATATGTTGGAAACGTTAGGAGGATTACGAGCGAGTAGGCATATGGGTATTGATGAACAAGTTGTTATTTTCCTTCATATTATGGCTCATAATGTTAAAATTCGAGTTATCACATGTCGTTTTCATCGTTCGGGAGAAACAATCAGTAGACTATTTACTCGAGTTTGCAATGCGGTGATAAGATTGCATTCATATTTGCTTAAAAAACCCGAACCCATTCAAGAGGATTCTACCGATGGAAGATGGAAGTGGTTCAAGGTATATGGAATATCTACCTTTTTTGGTATTCACATGGAAGTAACTTAAAGTGTGTAATGACCATTTATTTTCTTGGTTTTAGAATTGTCTAGGAGCTTTAGATRGAACATACATAAGGTGCTTAGTGCCACTCGAAGACAAGGCTCGATACAGAACAAGAAAGAATGAAATTGCTACAAATGTGTTAGGGGTCTGTTCACAAGATATGCAATTTATTTATGTGTTACCCGGATGGGAGGGGTCAGCGGCTGATGGTAGAGTGCTTCGAGACGCTCTTCTTAGGCCACATGGGTTAAAGGTACCGAGGCCATATTATTACCTGGTAGATGCCGGATACACAAATGGTGAGGGTTTCCTCGCCCCATATAGAGGTAAAAGATATCACTTAAATGATTGGCGGGATGGATACCAACCAACCACGCCAAAAGAACTTTTTAACATGAGACATTCCTCTGCAAGAAATGTCATAGAAAGATGTTTTGGCATTTTAAAGGCAAGATGGGGAATTTTAAAAGATAACWYGTACTATCACGCTGAACTGAAAAACAAGATCATAATGGCATGTTGTCTACTTCATAATCATATCAGGCGAGAGATGCCAAATGATCCGTTTGAGAACGTTGGGTTAGATGAAACAACCGAAGATGATGGAGAACAAGACGTGGATAATGTCACTTCTGTTGGGACATCAACTGAGTGGACTGCATTTAGRAATAATTTGGCACAACATATGTTTGAGGCTTGGAATGCTACGCATTGACCTTTTATGATTTGTAACGCTAGAAGTTTATCTTTATGGTTTGTAATGAATTTGATACATATGTTGCATAGTATTACGATTAATAATGCTACAACTTGATTTTATGATTTGCATGTTTATTTTACATGTTATTTGTTTATTATTTAATTTGTTTAACAATAGGTATGTCGGATCGAAGTCGTAATAGAAACTATCGAAATTGGACAACTATTGAAGATGCCAAGCTTGTGGAGGCTTTGATTAACATGGTTAATACCGGGGGATTTAAAGCTGATAACGGCTTTAAATGTGGATATTTACAGTATCTAGAAAATGTATTAAAATAATCAATTCATGATTCTGGTATATTGGGTAAACCGCATATTGAGTCAAGAATTAAAACAATGAAAAAGGATTGGCAAGTGGTCCATGACATGGTGAATGGGACAAATACGAGTGGGTTTGGTTATGATTGTTTGAAACAATGTGTAATTGCCGAAGCACCAGTTTGGGAGTCTTACCTGAAGGTACCCATTATATATTTCATG